ATGGAATATTTATGTTTTTCATATTTTTCAAGGTTCTTTTCTCCTCTGAATGGTCGGTCAAACAGAGATGCAGAGAGTTGGAAAAAGACACAAGGCACTGATGTAATGTTATTTATTGCAGAGTTCATGAGGACCTCACAAAGTTCTAGTAGCACTTACAAGGTGCTTCCTCCCTCTTGGAGCTTGTAACATGTGTGAAAAGTGCTCTGCAGCACTTCCTTCTTCTTGGAGTTCACAGCACTCAAAGCTGAGCTGAGCCAAGCCAAGGACAAGCCAAGCCAAGGCCATCAGGGTGGAGCAGGCTGAACCAAGGCCAAGCTGAGCAGGGCTAGCTAACAAGGCCAAAGCCAAGTTGAGCAGGGCTAGCTAGCTGACCTGGTGTTCTTTTTCTCTTGAAGAGGCTGCAGACAATAGTAGCTCATTGCCAAAACTAAACTTTTGCACATGCACGTGTGCATTACATGCAATGGCATAAAGCAGCAAAGTCAAAATTGCATAACAAGCATGCAAGCACAGGACCACCAATAGTGAAAGTTGTTTACCTTGTAAACAACTTATCAAACATGATAAAATAGGAAGAACAGGAAGTGAGGGAGCCAGACTAAACCATCCTGACTCCATTTCTCTACCCCTTAAAATACCCAAATGTAACAAAATTGTCTCCCACCCAATAAGAACCAATTGTTAAGTATTTATAGCACTTTACGAAGTATGTCACATGTCCTTAACTGTGAAGGACTCACCTGGTAAGGAGATAGGCTAATGTGGTTCCATGTTTATGGATCAAACATTCCAAGGCTTCTAGGGCTGACTGACGTTCTGTTAGCAAGAAGCAAGCCATACCTGAAATAGGTATATTTGCATGAAAAGATGAACTCACAGACACAAGATGGAAGATACCTAAGAGTCAACTTGCTACCAAATGAATAATGCCAGATTGGGAGCTTAATGTTCAGACTATCACTATGGGATTTGTATGTCATTGTCAAGAAAACATAGAGCTTATAACAATATTTTAGTTAGGGCCTATTTAAGTTGGTGAGTGATTATAAAAAATTTGGTACCCTTTTTCTTTATTCTTTTCTTTGTTTGTTTCAACCACCTAGATAAACAAATGTAAATATAATGAGAAATACAATTAACACTAAGATTCCTTTAGTTGTACAGTATTACTTATGTAGTAGAATGAGCGGTCTTATTGTACTTTGGTAGATTTTGGAAACTTTCCAGCTTTTCACAAACCACCACAGTACTAGTACCATTCATTTCTCCCCTAAACTAGAAAGGAAACAATGGTTAAAAATGAATTTTAAAAATCATTTAAAAATGTCTAAATACAAAATTTAAAGTTATACACTCACACTTGTTTTAAGATACATTTAAAATAAATGAAATGACCTTGGCCAAGTTCTATGTTAGAGACAGAGCATTAATATTCTAAATATAAGTTTACCTAAAAATTAAACAGATTAAATAACAAAATCTAGAAATATCTTCACAAATCAGATAACTTACTTTCCTTTTAAACTAATGAATAGCCCAGCTGTGATGGTGTAAGCTATTAAGAGACTGCACTCTGAGAGCTGGGACCACATGGAAGGCCAGGTCTCAATTCCCATCTGACCTGAAGGCCAGACTGGGTGGTGTGTATCTGAAATCCAGCAACTCAGAGAGGCTGATGCCCAGGATTGGGAGGTCAAGGCTAGCCTGGGTAAGATAGTGACTAAAAACAGCTGGGTGTGGTGGCATGGTCCTAGCTGGGAAGCACAAGCAGTAGGATCATGACATGGTGAGACCTTGTTAAAAAGAAAAAGAATTGACTAACTCTATTTATTTAAGAAATATATAAAAATTCACTGTTTTAGTGGATAAAGGACTTTTTTTTTCTTTAATAAGTGCTAATAGAATAATTAGAACCAATTGTTTAGCAGCTTTGGGGGGAAAACATATTATGAAATAAGTTAAATTTTAAGTAGATAAAAATTATTATTCTCATCACATAGCGAAAATGTTTCATGATTTATTTACACTGGGACCAGCAGATGACCTAATGATTACTTCACTGGGTTCCCACGTAGTCAGTCTTGGTTTGAGTCCCAGACCCAGCAGCTTAAAACTCACGCAGGGCACGTGTGTATGCATGCCCAAAATTCCAAGAGGAAGATGGAGGAGAAGGGATTGTGGCATGGTCATCCTCCCTAGGAGGTGATTTCTCTTTGTCACTCTGTCTCTATCTCTCTGGTGAATGCACATGCCCTGATAGCAAAAATTTCTCTTAAAAAATAATTTACATTAGGATTTTATGTACACTAATATGCTATTAAAGAGAATAACAGCTGTCTTTATCGGCAATAGGGGATATTAAAATAAGCAAACTAATAGATAAAGAAATTTTGGGACCAGCAGAAGGCATAATGGTTACATTGCTGGACTTCCACGTAGTCAGCTATGGTTTAAGTCCCAGACCCAGAGGCTTCACGCAAGCTGTGTGTGTGTCCATGCCCAAAATCCTGAGAGGATAGTGGGAGTGTGGGGGTGGGTGGGGGATGTTGCAGCATGGCCATCCTTCCCAGAAGGTAATTTCTCGCTTTCTTTCTCTCTGTCTTTGCACATCCTATAGCAAAAATCTCTCTTAGGGGGAAAAACAAACAAACAAACAAAAGTTTCATTAACTTTTACTCACACGAGTAAAAATGATAATTTTAGTTTTTTTTTTAAATACGCATTTATTTGGTCAAGAATATGAATATTTTTTTCTAAATTTATTTAGTCGGGAGACCAGCAGTTAGCCTAATGGCTATGTCGCTGGACTCCCATGTAGCCAACCATGGTTCGAGTCCCAGACCCAGTGGCTTAAACTCACACTGGGTACATGTGTGTACGTGCCCAAGATCCTGCGAGGAGAATGAATTTTTCATAAATTATTGGTTACTATTGTTATCTTTTGTTTTATTATTTTATTTTCCAATATACATGACCTGTTACTATGTCATATATATGAACCATATTTAAAGTCATTGAATTTTTTTTCTTCACTGGTTTGTCTTCTAATTGCTTAAATGGTTTTGAGTTAAGTCCACTAAGGTAGTGGGTGACTTTTAGGTCTTCTGCTCCTTCTTATCCAGTTATTTCTCTGTTTATTTTCGGAGACCTTTTTATTTCTCTGCCAGAACATAACTATTGGTGCCTCTCAGGAACCTTTACGCTTTTCTCAGGGAGACATAAACTACTCTGATTTCAAGCTGTGACTAAGAGCCAATGACCCTCGCATTTATATTATCAGCCCAAATGTCTGGGGGCTCCAGCCAGATTCCTGCAAATTGCTATCTTGGTATTCTCTACTCACCTCAACGAAAAGAAGTCCCAAATTCTACCAGACATTTTCTGCCTCTGTAAATGTGCTTACCTGAAGTTAACAGAAACACCCATCTGGTGTAATGGACTAGAACTTGTTTGATCCTCAGTATTGAGACTTTTCTCTTCCCTCTTTTCATGTTCTAAACGTCTCTTAAATCTGCTTCTGCATCTTTACATCGGGACCTGCTTTTATTCTTTTCCTTTATCATGGAGAGATTGTTTTCTTTCTAATTTTTAAAAAATATTTTTGTAAATTTTCTATTCTAATGTATTTTTTTTTCATTTTCAAACCTAATCTAAAGTCTGTGTTGAAAAATGTAATGAAATATAAACATAGTCATAAAAATATGTTCATAACAACTTGTGGCATGGAGGTTCAGGTGGCCCCGACCCAGCAGCTGAAGTTAGATGCTTGTGTACCTCAAATCATGAAGCAGGGGAAAATGGAGAAGGATTATTGTGTTACCATTCCTTATGAAGGGTGTTTTTTCACTTTTCCTCAGCCTCTCTCTAGCTCTTTCTCTCCAGAAAGCACACATGCCCTCTTGCTAATTAAAAATAAAAAAAGAAGAAAATCTTGTTCATTAATGTTCATTTTTGAGGTCACTCAAATATTTGAATTTTCATAATTGAATAGAAACTGTATTCTCATGTTCAGTAGCATAAAAAAATCTTTTCAGAAGCTAGATATTTTGATGGTAGCAACATTACGATTGTTTTCAATAAAACGACCCCACGCTTAGACTGATATTCATACGTATGATTACATTTAAAATCAATGATGTTTGTAATGCTTGTGCTACTGGACAGTCATTCCAAATTCTTGACAGAAATCAGTGGATGGTAATAAACAGCCAGACCTTGACATTATTAAATGATACATGAGACAGTTATGCTAATTTAGCCTTTGACTTATCCATCATTTACCATCCCAAAGTCTCTTTTGAAATAAAATTGCAGTTATATTACTTTTAAAAAGTGACTCTGCACATATTTTTTCATTAAAAAGACATTAACTTTTCAGAGAAATCGCTAGAAAATTGAATCTCTATTCGATCCCAGAATGCACAGATAAATAAAACATGAACTATATTTTTTATGTCAATTAATGCTTACAAATCACCCTTCACCAAGATTTTAGGTTAAAATGATTATCATTTATTTACAAGATGTGAAGAAAGCCTATCTTTTTATATGGTGATACTGTATTTCTTTTATGTTGTTTTATTTTGCAGTAGTTGAAGGTTTTAAAGATAGTGATGCTGGTTATTATTGAAAGAGTATGAATAAGGAAGAATTGTGGCCAGCAGGTACTGTGGTGGCTAAGGCACTGGACCTTCCACATGGCTGACCACGGTTCAAATCCTGAACCCAGCAGCAGGTGTGTTTGCATACATGCCCAAAATTCTGAGAGGAGAACAAAGGAGAAGGGACTGTGACTTGGCCATCTTCCCTAGTGGGGATGATTTCTCATTTTCCCTCTCTCCATCTCTCTGTCTCTCTCCGGCAAGTGCACACACCCTAGGCAAAAACTCTAAATAAATAAATAAATAAATAAATAAATAATCACAGGATGAAAGTTGGTGGGAATTCCCAAACCATTCTGTGCTAATGTGGAACTATCTCTGTTTTGCCTCATACAGGTGATTAAAGCAGTAGAGGAAGGCTACCGTCTGCCAAGCCCCATGGATTGCCCTGCTGCTCTCTATCAGTTAATGCTGGATTGCTGGCAAAAAGACCGAAATAGCAGGCCCAAGTTTGATGAAATAGTCAACATGTTGGACAAGCTCATACGTAATCCAAGTAGTCTGAAGACGCTGGTTAATGCCTCAAACAGGTACAGACCAGGCCTGAATGATTTTCCTGAATGTACCCAATTCAGATTGAAGCCACAAATATTTCGATGATTAAGTGATTCTCATCTACATGTTAAAGTATTTTAACATATTCTAATTATTTTGAATATAGTTTTTGCATATTACTACTCTTCTAATGAATGAAATATATGTGACTGAATTATACTTAAAAGTACCTATACCTGTATCTAATAGTATAATATTCCAATTTCAGAAAACTGTGAATTATAAGTATATTCAAGTAGTATTAAAAAAAAGAACCTCAAATGTATGTATTTTCCTATATCTTGGAGGATTGATGTAGATAGAAAAAAGATAATTTTAAGGTAATCGGGAAAAATCAATTAAACACTATCATTCTTTGATTTTTGTAGAATACATTTTAGTGTGTCCCCTTTAAATATGAATAAATTTTAGTGCTCATATTTTATTAACATTGACAACCTTAAAGACACTGTTGCTCTCATTTAATTTTACACAATAAGTGCTTAATCATTTAGTGTGCAGTTTGAACCAGAGTTAATGCCACAAGTTGGTATGAACATATTCTTATGAATATGTTTCTATTTCATTACATTTTTAACAAAGGTTTTAGATTAGATTTGGAAATAAGTGAGTAATCTTGCAGAGAAAATTTGTGTGAGCAAACGAATATACTTTTTACTTCTCTCAGTAGCATAAGTAAATATTGTTGCATCTCTGTAATGCCTACTTCCATCTTTATCTGAAAAATAATAGAAATATCCTCTGAAAACCAATTCAGAAAACTTGTACTAGAAAACTTGCCAGATTGTTATTTTCACTATATTTGACACACTTGTCTCTTTTCACAAGAAATGGTATTATACTGGCTGTACATTAGCATGAACTAAATGAGAAACAATTTGTTGATTAAGTTACATAAGTTCCCTGATTCTAATATAACATTCGTTTATTAGATGAGAAGTCATTTTAAATACAAGTGAGAAATGAATCTTCAAACTCTGTTCTGGGATCATTAACTTTCTGCGTAGCAACCAGAAAATGTATCTTCATAGCAATTATTCCTCATGTTGTTTCCTCAGTATCTCCTTTTAAATTGTTTATTGTCATGTAAAACATTAAGCCTTTCTCTTCCACTTCTTTGAATTATGTTGCATTGTTACAAATGGACGTAAAAAAAGGAAATCATCAAACTAAATTTCCAGTGCTCTAAATTGTATTAATTTACATTAGCATCCTTGTTAGCTTGAGAGCAGTTTAAAATTTCTACAGAATTTTTATATTTTCTTGTATGCAATAGTTTGTTTTGCAGCAAGTGGAAGTAGTTGAGGATTTTATTTAATTCCACTTACTAGGCTTCATTCAGGCAAATTTTGTTTTAAGACCATAACACTCACAGGCTCTCCTTTATTTGGTTGTTGGGAAATCTTAGTTTTAGAAGAGGTTAGTTGCTGGTTTATTCTTTCTCTTTTCCTCCATCTTTATGCATGTCAAAAATTTGTTGATTCCAGTAACTGTGCATGTTATTCAGTTATTTCTCAACTCCTAGAATTTTCTCCTTTAGTGATTTGGTTCTCTAACCGACCTTGGGTTTCCTTTTCCATGGTCGGATTCTAGACCTTGTTACCACCAAAAAATTGCAATTCTTCCACAATATCAACTTAGAGTCTAATCTCCAATCCTCCTTTTTATCGCCACTATTCCTTGAACCTTATTGCTTATGGCTACAAATCACTACATTATATTCATTTATTCATTCAATGAATATTCACCTTTCTACCACTATTCCTTGAACCTTATTGCTTATGGCTGCAAATCACTACATTAAATTAATTTATTCATTCAATGAATATTCACCTTTCTGCTCTGTATTATGCTCTGGATTGGATGCTGAGGACAGAGCGTGAAACCAATAGATCTAGGCTTTATCTGCCTTCATAGAGTCAAATACAAATGAAGGAGAGAGACATTGAACTGAAGAAAAATTCACACCCCCAAAATGTGTTGGATTTTGGAGTGGAAAGTGAGTAGAATTCAGGAGAATACAAGGCTAGCTAGATGTGGATGTGCAAACTATAAATGATGGTGTCCTGAAATAAGGGTGATAAATGAGATAGAAGTAGCCAGAAATGTAATATGGTGGAAGAATAATAAATATTATGCACAGTGAGAGACTGAGAGGAGTGAGGTCAAGAAAGGGGTGATGGTTGTATCATAAACTATAATGGGGAGCATTTCAGGAGAGATGGGTGTGGAGAAGAGGAGTAATGTGGGTTTGGATATATTGGGGTGATATAGCTTTGAGGAATATGGAAGCACAAAGTAGGGATATGGATATAGAAGAGACATAGTCTGGAGATGCAAAGTTGAGAAAAATACATACTATTTGAAGCCATCGAAGTGAGTAAAATTGCCTAAAGTGGAACTACAGTCTAAAAAGATACAGGGCCAAGTCCTGGCTCCATCCAATTTTTTTTTTTCTTTTTTTTTTTGTTAAGTTCAATCGGGAAGATCAAACCACAACAGAAGATAAAGTACATGAGACTGAACTGGTGAAATAGCATTCTGTGACTTTTGACTAAAATATTGCTGCTTTTCTTCTAGGCTTTGTTGTCCGGTTTTAAGAGTTTTTGTCCTATCTTGAGCTGTCAATAGGTTCACGTACCTACTATTTGAACAAGATCCTAACCTGTTTCTAGTTTTTAAGTTTTAAGAAAATTTCCTTATCAGTTAAAAACTACTTTTCTTGAAATTACTAACTGAACTTGCTATTGAAAGTAGTTAGATTATTTAAGAAATTGTATGATCAATAAAATGTAGAGGGAAAAGGAATGGAAGAGAACTGTAGACACCAGAGACAGTGTGAGAAGAGGGTGGGAAAGGGCAAAAGGTCAAACACAGTGGTAAATATATATATGAAACTAGAAACGAAAAATTATTAATAACATGCATGATTAAGCCACTATGCGGTGTATTCTGGATGGATAACCATTTTTTGTATGCTGTAACAATGATTAGGGAATGAATGTAAATTAATTTAAAAAATTTCAGAAGAAAAAATATCATGAAAACTATTTTCCATGAAATTTTTAAAAAATGCATATTTGAGGAGTACAGGTAAGCTATATAGTCCCAGCATGGTGTTACTGTGTTGTAGGTTCATTCTACGCACTGAGGTTTATGCCTAGGGTCAGACTTGTGTTCATGGATATGTATATATCAGCTGTGCTTGCTATTGGAAATATTTAGATTAATGAAGCTCTTTAACAAATAAATAAAATGGGGGGGAAGGCATAGAAAGCAACCATGGATATCAGAGACAGTGTGGGAGGAGAGTGGGACACGGCAGATGGTGAGAGATAGGGAATCAAGAATGGCAAAAATAACAAAATATACAGGAAATAGGAAGTGGAAAATTGTTTGTTGACGATAACATGTATGTGGATGTGCTTGACTGAGCCAATATACAGTGTATTCTGTAAAAAATAAATAAATAAAAAGATTTTTGCCACTGTACATATGTGCTTACTGGACAGAGACAGGGAGACAGGGAAAGTGATAAATCACCCCCCTGCTCCCCAGGGGAGATGACCAAACTGCAATCCCTTCATCCTGCTCTCAGGATTTTGGGCACAAATGCATGTGCATCTGGTATGATTTTCAAGCCACCAATCTGGAGGTTGAACAGCAGTCAGTCATGTGGGAGTCCAGCACTTTAACTGCTACACCACCTGCTGCTCTCCACCCAATGGTTCCTTCTAAATTTTAAGGTCAGAAGAAGGCATTATAAACAAAGGAGATGGAGGAGAATTCAGGAACACATAATTTCGTGGTGGCTAAGAAACAATTAGTGATTCCGAAAAATGTTGAGATGGAGTAAGATTTCAAAAGGAGGTGGTAATTGTGACATGTTTCTCAGAGGTCAGTCATCTTATAGATTGAGTTATGTCCATGAATTCTACAAAATAGAAATCATACCTTAACCATAGCAATTTACATAGAATTGGTTTTGAAGAAAACACACTCTAAAACATTGAAGTATAAGTGGAGTGTGAGAAATCATAGAAAATGTGAGTAAAAATGAACATATTTGTGTCCTGTATCTTTTTAAAAAGATTAATTTTATTTGTCATTATATATTTGTGTCCTGTATCTTTTTAAAAAGATTTATTTATCATTACTGTTACTTTATAAATTGCCACATGCACATGCACTTAACAGAGAGAGAGAAAGAAAGCAAGCCGCCAGGTCGGGGACTTGAACCATGGTTGACTATGTGGGAGTCCACAGCCTTAACTACTGTGCCAACTGCTGGCCCCTGTGTCTTATATCTTATGGTTGAAATTTACTTAAGAAAACATGAGTAAAACAGACATTTGTGTCCAGTTGAAATTTACTTAAGCAAAACTCCCTTTGATGGACATGTAAATTATTTTTGATATTTCTGTACATGAAACTTTTACCATTTTTTTCTGAAGATTTATTTAGGATACTTTTGTAAAAAGCTTATTTATTTTTGTCTTTATAGAGAGAGAGTGAGAAAAGAAAGACAAGAACCCCCACCAAGGTCCCCATGCCATGATCCACCCCCACTTTAGCCAGCCTGAATCACAGGCATGTGTGTGCCTAGCATGTACAGAGAGACCCCAGGATGTGAACTAAGAACTTCTATGTGAATCCAGTTGTGTTTCCACTGAGCACCACCTGTCCTCTATTTAGGATATGTCTGTAAAAATCATCGTCATGATTATTAGCATCATCACCATAAAACGATTATTATTGGCCAGAGAGTATGAATTTAGAATAGTTAAGAAGCATCTCATGGTTTAGTTGATTCCCTTTAATTTTCTTATATATTTGGGGTTACCCTTTACTTCCCAGATTCTGCTCCAGTTATGTAAGAACTTAAAAAATAAATAGCTTTGGCGTAATGGCTGTGTCGCTGGACTCCCACGTAGTTGACCATGGTTCGCGTCCCAAACCCAGTGGCTTAAAACACGCTGGGCGCGTGTACATGCGTGCCCAAGATCCCGAGAGGAGAATGGAGGAGAAAGGATTGCAGCATGACCATCCCCGCTGGGGAGTGATTTCTTGCTTTCTGTCTCTCTGTCTCTCTCTGTCTGGCGAGCACACGCGCCCTATAGCACAAACCTCTAATAAATAAATAAATAAATAAATAAATAAATAGCTTTTGGATTTCCTGAGAAACTAGTTTAAAGGAACTTGAGCTCCTCTAGCAAAGTCTAAAAGCAATTGATTTGCACAAACTATTCTGCATATTTATATTTGATAGCATTTTTTCATTTTTATAAACACAACAGTAGTAGAACATATCTATATCTAAACCACTATATGAAAAAGAATTTATAGACTTAATGTTTTAGGTTCATACCTAAATTGAGCAGAAAGCACATGTGATCTTTCATGTATACTCCCTGCCTCCACATGCGATAACATTCCCCCCAATTATCGGCATTCACCAACAGAGTGGCACATTCATTCCAATGAATGTACATTGATACCTCATTATCACCCAAGGTTCATGATTTTGTTAGGGGTCATTGTTGGTATTCATGCATTTTGATAAATATAAAATGACATATATCCATTATTGTAGTGTCATGCAGAGTAGTAGTATCTTTGCTTCTTTGCCTAAAAAATCTTCTGTGTTTGCTGTTCATGTGACATAAAATATTCAGCTGTCCTATGTTACAGAAAATTTACTTATTAACCGACTGTAAGTCCTCTTTTTATTATATAGATAGAAAAAGATCTCAATGTGCTGATTTTATGTTCTTTTGTATTTTGGATTATTTTCTTCTAGGTTAGCATTTGTATATTTTTCTCCAATGAATATATAGACCTAAAGGTTCATTGAATGTATCCCTACCTTGTAATATACTTTGCTCTAAAAGAGTTAAAATGTTCCTGCTAATATTTATTGTTTTTGTCTTCTAGAGTATCTACTTTATTGGCAGAACATGGCTCATTGGGATCTGGGGCCTACAGATCAGTAGGTGAATGGCTAGAAGCAATCAAGATGGGCCGGTATACAGAGATTTTCATGGAAAATGGATACAGTTCAATGGACGCTGTGGCTCAGGTGACCTTGGAGTGAGTAATTTTTCTGATAATTTTTACATAATTACTGGGGTGAGAAAAATTGTTCAGAAACGCGTCTGTATGAGGTCAAGGGAAATCAGTTAACCTTTGTCCACACGTGGCAGCTTTCAAAGAAGCCTCATCTTTTTTTTTTTTTTTTTTTTTTTTTTTTTCTTTTTTTTTTTAA